AGCTTGCATTTCACGTAATACCCTTAGTAGTATAATATTTACGGAACTTCCTGGATCAATCAAAACTCGTTTTACCTTAGTGTCATGTACAAGTAAAGATATTACCAGTGCATCGTTGTGGGGGGTGATCACTCCTTCTGTATCTGCATCATCAAAAGTGATCCTTTCATCTTCTAAAGTCTGTCGCACTCGCTTCCCGTGCGTAATTGTTACTTTGGAAACTTTATTTGAAGCCGTACATGTTACTCTATAAATATCCTCTCCCCCGCTTATAACATTCACGGTTCTTTTGGGTGATGGGGGCTTTGGTGGTTCTTGCCTATTTTTCATGTAGGCTTGCTTACCTTTCTCACTAAATAACTCAGTGAGATACCCTTGTTTCAATAGATGGTCCACTTCACTTTGCAAAAATCTACATTCTGAAGTCTTATGCCCGTGATCATTGTGAAATTCGCACCAATGATCTGGATTGCGCTTATTTGGGTTTGACCGCATCTCTTTAGGCCACCGTACCTTATCTCCCATGCTCCTCAAAACAGCTACGAGTTCGGAGGTAGTGACATTGAAATTATACCCACCAAATCTTGCCTTCAAACTTCCATCATCGTCTCGTGACCCGCGTGTGTTTCGATCGTTCCCAAACCTTGATGAGGAGCCTGATTCCCTGTTCCTAGGTCTGTGATCGTACCTTTGATTATCTTGTCTTGACCGTGAGTCCTTTCCCGCAGGTCCCATGTATGGCTCGTACCTGTTTTTACCGGATCTCTTTTCATTTTCCACACGCTTTGAACTTACCTTTTCTTCTGTTTTATGTCGTAAAATAATGTCTTCTTCAATCCTCATCTTTGTGCTGTATCTGTTGTAGACATCATTCCACGTTGTTGCTGGGAATTCTCGAAGGCTTTCTTTGAGTCACCTCGTGGCTTCTGAACTCTTCTCATTTAAATTACTAGCAAAGGCTATGGCTGCCCAATTGTCAGATACTCGTGGCAGCGTCATTCTTTCCCGTTGAAATCTATCTACGAACTCTCTAAGCAACTCTGAGTCTCCTTGCTTGATTTTGAAGATATCTTCCATTCGCTTTCCAACTTTTTGAGCTCCCGAGTGTGCTTTGATAAATAAATCTGCAAGCTCAGCAAACGAATTTATAGAATTTTCAGGTAAAAGAGAATACCATGTTAGGGCTCCTTTAGTGAGTGTTTCACCGAATTTTTTGACCAAGACCGACTCAATTTCTTGCTTAGTCAAATCATTGCCCTTGACACCTGTTGTGAATGCAGTAACGTGATCTCGTGGGTCTGATGTACCATCATACTTTGGAATATCAGGCATTTTAAACTTCTTTGGAATTGGAAGGGGAGCAGCACTTGGCTTCCATGGTTGTTGGGAATATTTATCTATATCCACGCCCTTGATCACGGGCGGTACTCCAGGTATTTGCTCTATGCGTTCATTTTGCTCCTTAAGCTGTTTCTGTAAGGTTAGTACTAGACTTTGTAAATCAGAATTAACTGGATTACCTGGGTCTCTCTCTTGTGTTTCACTAGGGGTTCCACCGGTGCCAGAATTAAACAATCCTGAACGAGGATTTTCCAAAGTGTTGTTGTTTGGAGCAGATGTAGGTGGAACAGCAGGCAATTGACGAACAAAAGCTTGGAGAGCGTTATTAACTTGAGCAGCGATAAGTTTTTGCAGAGCCTCATTCATGGTTTCAACATTTTCAAATTGAGCCTGTCCATCCGTATAAGATCCATCAGGAGTGCCTTCACGAGATCGTCGTGGGGAGCCTCGTGGAGAACCTTGTGGAGAGCCTTGCGGGGAATCTTCCTGAAGTTGTTGGATTGTCTGAATTTCTGGGTTTCCTTGAGTATTGTCATTGTTGTTTGACATGATTGACGCAATCAGGAAAATTAGATTGAGATATGCTTGATTATTAGATTACCGGTAACGGAACCAATTTGTTTAACCAAAAAATATAATTTCAGTTAAAACTAGAAATTAAGAGAAAAAATCGGGTTACTGATAATCAGGAGACGAAAAGAATAAAGAATTTAGGAGAATAATAAAGCAGTAAATAAGTTTGTATTTCAATGTAATCTCAATGATATTTCGTGTCCTACAGATGTTGTGACTTTCTCCTTTTATAGTTAATTCTAAGAGAAAGTGTAATGCCTTTGTCTTAATGAGACAATTATGAGCAATAAATGACATTAAAAGAAACGTTACTCAATCATTCTTGTTAAATGCAAATTCTCTAACGTATTTGGCATTTAATGTTGAATTTGGACTCTTTTACGCTATTAGATTCATGTCTTCAATTCCTTCTGATCTTCGAGCTTTAAATGACTCGAACAGGTACGAGTCTCGTTTCATCTGAATAATAGCTCGTGCCTTTAAATATCTTCTCTCCCGCATCTGTTGTTTCTCGTGCCTTCTAACTGATTACCATGCTTTGACTATTTGACCGGTCCACGTGTCATGACACGTCATCTTCAATATTTAAATTAAGTTTTTTCCCAATACAAGAGATGTTAGGGGAGGTAATGAAGTAACTCTTGTCGTTGTTGACTTTTTCCTCAGAAGCCCTTTCATACCTCTTGATTTATTTCTTAATAAGCTTGATAGAAATGATTGTTTCCTCCACAGAAGATGACAATGTCATCTGCATAAGCTAAGTGGTTGATGATGGGTTTTCTGTTATCCATGCTAAATGGTGTGAAATTGTCATGCTCAAACGGCTTATTCAAAGATATGGATAATACTTCAGCACCAATGATGAACAAAGAAGGGGAAAGAGGATCCCCTGCTTAAGATCATGGGAAGAAGTAAAGAAACCTTTCCGAAACAATTTGGTTACCCAAATGGCCAAAAACAGACATCTTGAAAGGAAGAATATTAACCAGATTATCCACACATTTTGACTAGGAGGACCATCTCTAAATAATATTACAAAGCCTTATCTCCACAAGATCAAATGCACCTATGCCAAGATCGACTGAGACGAGTTTTTCATGACAAACCTAGAAAAAAACAATATGTATTTATTCTCTGAATCCTTCCTTTAATACATAAAACATAGTAAGAAATAAACACCAATAGGTGCAAGCTAAAACAAGATCATAATTAAGCCCATAGCAAAATATATGATGCATAAGAAGCACACATGGTAGATCCAATTCTCATTTTCTTGCCCAAGTCCCCCTCCTAACTCTTGTTCAATGTATTGCCAACGTCAAGTACGAAACGGTACTTAACATCCGATTTCAAAAGACGCTCCAAAGCTGTATTCACATAGTCCATTGGCACGACTTCAACATTTGGTGTAATGTTATGCTTTGCCGCGAATTCTACCATCTCTTGTGTCTCCTTTATCCCTCCTATGGCACTCCCAGCGACTAGCTTCCTCCCTGTTTTTGACATTATATATATACTTTGTATCAACTTTTTACGTTCTAAAAAGAATGCATAGTTAGAAACATCCGATTCAAGAAACGTACCTAAAAGCAAAGGAAATACAGGCAACTCTAGTGGTTTTTCTGGCGCGCCAACCATTACAAGCTTCCCATGAGTTTTTAACAAATTAATCAATGGAAGAAGAGGGTGAATTGCAGAGACAGTATCAATGATGCCATCAAGCGAGCCCGCTGCAGCCTGTTCATATTTCATGTACATTTAAAATTAGAATTAATTCGTATGTCAGACTCCCATTAGTTTGAGATTGAAGCATAGTTGATTGACTAAACGAGTTATAAAGTCAAAAGTAATAATATTCACCTGCATTTGGTCAGGGTCACGGCTGACCAAAAATGAGTCCGCACCCAAACGCTCAATTGCTTCTTGTTTTTTACTACTAGATGTACTAATAACAGTCACTTTAGTTCCAAATGCCTTAGCAAATTTCACAGCCATATGACCAAGACCACCAAGACCAACAACACCAATGTGCATTCCGGGCTTATCAAGTCCAAAATATTTCAAAGGACTATATGTTGTAATTCCAGCACATAACAATGGAGCGGCTTCCATTGGCAAGTTCTCCGGCCAATGAACCATGTAGTGCTCGTCCGTTACCATGATGTCAGAGTAACCTCCGTGCGTGGTGGTTCCATCGGTGTAAATACCGTTGTATGTCATTATCTGATTAGGACAGTAATTCTCGAGATTGTTGTCACAGTTTTCACATTTGCGACATGATCCTACCAAACATCCAACTCCCACTTTGTCACCAACCTTAAATTTCTCCACTTTGTTACCAACCTCAGTTACCACACCAACAACCTCATGCCTGTGACAATTGACAATTAATGACAAAAATCGATTCTAATTAGAGAAGAACTGTATTAGCATCCAAAACATAGCATGTGATTAAGTTTCAATTTACAGTTTTTGAGCTGTACCATCCTAGTGTGTCAATTTGTTGGTAAAAGTATTAAAGTACTCTGTTTCTTGCTATAAAATATATTATCTTGCAATTTGATCTCTTGAAAAAGATATCTGCAAATTTAATAATAACCCAATCTTTCTCATTCCATTAAAGAACTCTTAACATGGAATTAGTGTAACCATTTGCACAGACAGAAACTTTAATTCTCCGATAATCCTAAATTTGGTTAATTTAACGTAGAACTATATATTTTGCAAGAGTTTAATTTCAATACAGTCACGGCGTAAAAAATATTTGCATGGTAGATCACTTATAATGTAACTATACACTACAAGAAATCAAGCATTTTAGTGATAAAAAAGTCTATGTCGCTCGGTGTGGCGACCTATCTTAAATCTATATTGTGACCGTTTGTCTACCTTTTGTGGCGATTTTAGTCACCACAAAAGCTAATAATAGAACGAATTAGAATTTGGGGCGACTTAGTTCGCCACAAAAGATAAATATATGGGTCACAACTAAATTTAAGATAGGTCGCCCCTTCCCACGGCGGTACACTTTTGGTCGCGACTAAGGTACTCGCCATGAATGTCGTCACGAAAAGTTTTATTTCCTACAATGATAGCTAAATCTTTATAATAATTATTAATAACCTGATAAAAATATTAATTATCATGTTATCACAGGTTAGATTATACATCTTTACACATCAGCGTGTACAACACTACAACTTAAATTCATATGCAAATAAATAATAAAAATAAGAAAATGGAAACTGACCCAGGAACCATTGGATATATGCTATTGCTCCATTCATTCTTGAGCTGATGAAGATCAGAATGACAAATTCCACAATACATAACTTTAAACTGCACATCTTTCTCACCCGTGGCTCTGCACCATTAGATTTTTCCATAATCAAAACATCCATGATACAGAGAATCAATAACAATTTTTTTAAAAGAAAAAAACAGTTAAACCAAAATTTTGGGAGTGGAATCAAATAATACCTTCTTGAAAAGTTGAAAGGAGAAAGAACACCAGAAGTATCTCTAGCTGCCCATCCAAATGCCTTTACTGGGTGTTCATTCTCATATGATTTAGCCATTTTCTTAACTTTTGTTTTTTTTAAAGATATCACAATAAATTGAGTAGTAATAATTGCAGTAGGAAATAGAGATAGTGAAGTGGTTGGTTTTCGATATTATGTATATATAGGATTAGAGTTCATGGCTTATGACGTAGTCGATGAGGTGTGAATCAATGGCTATCGTCATGGCTTCCCTGTTCAATCTGTTTTCTCTGAATTTTTTATTTGATATGATCACCTAAAGACAATCTTCCTTGTCTCTCTGTGGCTTAATATATACTTTGGGCAAATGCTACGTACGTGTATATATATGCATGGGGTCCGTGTACGATCGAGTTTGACCGAGAGAAAAGTAAAGAACTTTATAAAATGTATCATAAATTCTCGTGATACACGCGCTTTTGGGCTAGACGCTGGCGTAGTCGAAGGGGCAAGTCCGTGAAATCTGTTGGATCAAATCACACAATACGTGCCATGAGCTTGAATTGCCATACAAGTAATCATATGATCTATGTTTTAATAGGATTCAAATAAATATCAAAAAGGAAAAAAAATATAAGGTCATTCCTCTATATAAGTTAATTAGGGCAGGGACGGATCTATATGGGAGGCAATGGGGTTTACGTGAATTTATGCTCCCTCGTTTTTAGCTTGCTATATATAATGTAACTTGGGTCATCGAAAAAAAATTTATATTTTCAAATCATATATTGATAAAGATATTAGTGCACCCTTAAAATCCTAGATGCCTCTAAATTAGGGTTGCCAACTTTGAATTCTACACAACTCTTGAAAGTCAAAATTGTGCGATATGCAATCAATTATTTGCATGATTCTTTTGTTTGAAAGTTCCAACTCTTCTGACAGAATCTATTTTGTCAAGTATATCCCATGAATAATTTGCTTAGAATAACTGAACAAGACAAAGGAACGTAAATCTCAAGTGCTATTCTGTTTGAATAGAATCAAGATCACATAAGAAAGAGAAGAAGAAAATTAACAAGGATAAGAAAGAGAAGAAGAGGTGAGAGGGGTTTCGCATTTGCGATGCCTCCTTCGCATTTGCGACATCTGCAGCTGGGTAAATGAGACTTGGACGGAATTTTCATCCATTCTTCAAATTTTCAAAATCTAAAACACAAGAGGAGATTTTTCAAAGACTTTTTCTTCCCTAATCATAGGTAAGTGATTCTAAACTAGTTTCTTTCAATCTTCCACTTCATTTTACAAGATTTCAACATAGAATCTAAGGTTTTCATGGTGGAATTGGGGATTTTTGGGTAGAAATTAGGGATTTGATAAATTGGGGATTTAGACCTCAAATTGAGGTCGGATTCCAAAACCAATTACATATTCGGGCTCGGGGGTGAATGGGTAATCGGGTTTTGGTCCGAATTTCGGGTTTGGACCAAGCGGGCCTGGGTGTTGACTTTTGTTGACTTTTTCAATAATGGCCTAAATTGAATTCTTATCGATCGCGGGTGATTCCTAAGGCCTAATTTGCGTTTGGTTTGTAATTTGCTAGATATTGTTAGTTCGGAGGCGTGTTTGAAAGGCAAAGCTGTGATATAGCTTTGAGTGGCCTTTGGAGCGAGGTAAGTGTTGTGTCTAACCTCGATTTGAGGGAATTAGGAACCCTCGGACTTTGTGTTATGTGAATTCCATGTGAGCGGCATATATGCAAGGTGCCGAGTGCTTATAGGCCGCCGAGTTATCTGTTTTCCCAGATTTATCATTTTCCCTTAATTGTTTTCCCTCCTTTTTTAATTGTTACATGCTCTAAATGGTTTCCATGCTTAATTGCTACGTGTTAATTAATGTTTTCTTCCGTTAACCATGTTAGCTCTTTTAATTATTCTCCTAATCCCTGCTATTTGTTTAATTTGACTTGTTTATACCTTTTAACTATGAATTGCTGGTTGGTCTCGCTGTGTAGTATTATTTGTGTAGATGCTATATTGAGCAAGGTTCCTTTTCTTGGTTCAGTTTGGTATTTTTATATCGTAAAGGCCTTGTGATTTAGCTTGTTGATTTGACTGTGTACATTGACTATTTGACACTGATATGGTGGGATTGAGTTGCACGCCGAAACAGGTGAAATAATGGTGGATTGATATGGTAAAATAAGGGTAAAATTACGATATTGATATTTATATATGGTGGGATCGGGTTGCCCGCCGCAATAAATATATATTATTGACTATTATTGATATTGTTATGGGGGAATAAGGGAGGATTATGTGTTGGCTGGTGGGATTGGATTGCGCGCCACAACGACCTATATGTTTCTATTTTTTTTAGCTGCGTTATTTTTTGATATTTTGTTTGAACTAGTAAAGATTGGTAATTATCGACGACACTGGTTTATCTTTGAGGTTGTGGTTATCATTTCCTGTTGGTTGTTTAACTCTGTACCGTATTTTAATTATTCTATTATTATTATAGACTGCATATAGGTTTTAGTGTAGGTGACCCGCCTTAGCCTCGTCACTACTTTGTCGAGGTTAGGCTCGACATTTACCAGTTCATGGGGTCGATTATACTGATATTGCACTCCCCACATTGTGCAAATTTTGGAGACGATCTCAGCGGCGGTTACTAGCGAGCTCGGATCGGGCATTTGCGGAGACCTGAGGTACGACTGTTCAGCGCCCAAAGCTCCTGGAGTCCCCGTCCTCTTTTCTTTTAGCTGTAAAACTTCATTCAGATAGCTTTGTACTTATTTCAAACCTTTATGTGTATTACTTTAGAAGCTCGTGCACTTGTGACACCAGGTTCGGGGAATTTTAATAGACGTTGGCTGTTTAGCTTCCGCATTTATACTTAGAACATATATGTTATCTCAGTTCATTATTATTGTTTTCATTTAAGCTGCTAAAAGAAGTAAGTTGTTCTCACATTGGCTTTCCTAGCAAGTGAAATGTTAGGCGCCATCACGATCCCGATGGTGTGAATTCCGGGTCGTGACAAGTTGGTATTAAAGCACTAGGTTACATATGTCTCACGAGTCATGAGCAAACTTAGTAGAGTCTGACGGATCGGTATGGAGATGTCTGTACTTATCTTCCAGGGGCTATGGAGTTAGGAACGGTTTCACTTCTATTCTTCTCTATCGTGCAATTTTATTCTATTATTGCTGATTGAGCTCTTCTATTCTATTCTCTCGCAGATGGTGAGAACGCGTATCGCATCTTCACTTGAGCAGCAACCAGAGCCCCCAGTAGCAGCTCGTACGAGGGGCAGGGGTCGAGGCCGAGGTCATGCCAGAGGCCGAGGTAGGGGCAGAGCTCAGCCCCGAGCTCGAGCAGCAGCACTAGTAGCTAGAGCCTCAGGTGGAGTTTGATGATGAGGTTCCAGCCCAGACTATTCCTACTAGACCAGCTCAGGTCCCGGAGGGGTTCATCGCTACCCTAGTGCTTCAGGATGCTTTGGTCCGTCTAGTGGGCCTTATGGAGAGTGTTGCTCAGACCGACACATTTCCTGTTGCACCAGCCGTCTCTCGGGCTGGGGGAGGAGTCCAGACTCCTGCTACTCACACTCCGGAGCAGATGGCTCCTCAGTTTTAGACTCAAACAGATCACCCCGTGGGGTAGCTCCGCCGGGTGTTGCAGCACAGACCTGTGATGGATCGGCTATGTCTTCTGAGGCTTTGTGGATATTGGATAGGTTTACCAAGCTCTTCCCAGTTCACTATAGCGGTGCATCCTCAGAGGATCCCCTGGACTATCCGCACAACTGTCATGAGGTGTTACGAAACATGGGGATAGTGGAGACCAATGGGGTCGACATTGCTGCATTTCATATATCGGTATCCGCCAAGAAATGGTGGAGGAATTATATGTTGGCCAGACCAGCTGGGTCGCCTGCTCTCACTTGGGACTTGTTCTCTCAGTTATTTCATGAGAAGTTCCTTCCTATCACTTAGAGAAAGGACTATCGGAGGCAGTTCGAGCGTCTTCAGCAGGGTTCTATGACTGTCACTCAGTACGAGACTCGATTTGTGGATCTGGCCCGTCATGCTATTCTTTTGCTTCCTACCGAGAGAGAGAGGGTGAGGAGGTTTATTGAGGGACTCGCTCAGCCTATCAGATTGCAGATGGCTAAGGAGATTGGGAGTGAGATTTCTTTTCAGGTGGTTGCCAATATCGCCAAGCGAGTCGAGATGGTTCTATCCTAGGTAGGAGGTTAGGGATCTGACAAGAGACCTCGTCATTAAGGTAGTTTTAGTGGTGCCTCGTCAGGAGGGAGGGGTACTTTTGGTAGGGGCCATCCTCCTAGGCCATATCATTCAGCGTCTCATACATCCCACAGTGCTTCAGGGAGTCGTGGTCATTATGTGCCTCAATTTGGGTAGCTAGCCTACAGTGCACCGCCAACTCCTATCAGTGCACCTCCTATTCAGAGTTATTACCGTGGTCCACCAACCCGTTTGGGTCAATCTCAGTTTTAACAGCCACAGTACTAGGATGGATGTTTTGAGTATGGTGGTTATGGGAATATTAGGAGGCCTTGTCCGAGATTATTGGGTGGCACACCACAACAGAGTTCTCGTGCCATAATTCTGGCACCGGTTGTATCACCGCCCGCTCAGCCAACCAGAGTAGGGGTCAGCCAGCCAGAGATAGGGGTCAGGGAGCCAGAGGTAGAGGTCAGGCCGCTAGAGGTGGAGGCTAGCCAGTAGGAGGTCGTCATAGAGATATAGTTCAGAGTGGTGGGGCCCAGCCCCGATGCTATGCTATTCTAGCCAAGCATGAGGCTGAGTCTTCTGATGCGGTTATCACATGTACGATTTCAGTTTGCAGTAGAGATGCCTCAGTTCTATTTGATCCGGGTTCTACATATTCATACGCGTCGTTCTATTTTGCTTTATATTTGGTTATGCCTTGTGACTCTTTGAGTGCTCTTGTATATGTGTCCACCCTTGTGGGAGATTCCATTGTTGTAGATCGTGTCTATAGTTCGTATGTGGTTACTATTGGAGGTCTTGAGACTAGCGTAGATCTTCTGCTTCTCAACTTGGTTGATTTCGATGTCATTTTGGGTATGGATTGGTTGTCACCTTATCATGCTATATTGGATTGTTACGCCAAGACGGTGACCTT